ATGATTGAAAATTCGTGAAAAACACGAATTTAAATGTCGATTTGTTGCTTAAGCAAACTCTTGCAAAATAAGTAAGTTTTAGCAAAAAAGTGAGTCTTTTGCTCAGAAAAGTGATTTTTAAACTTTTTAAAAAAAATCTCATAAAATTATTAGCTTAAAATATATAGTGTCTATTAAGTGAGTATAAAGTGTGAACCGACGTTTATAAAGAAAAGATTAAATCGAATCGAAAATTGAAGATTTTTCCTCTACCTCCAGATAATTACAAATAACAATAAAAAATTCACGACCGTAAGAATTAGTCACAACAAATTTCTTAAATCCCATGATATTAATCTAAATACACGATTTGATCCAATACCAATCAAAAAATCGAATTTTCATTACTTAATCGCAAAAAACCGGTACAACAGTTGGCAAATGCACGATTTTGAGTCAAGTACGGAAACCGAACATTTCCGTTTCTAATAACTGTGACATAGAATTCAGCTCACGTAGTCCAGCGGAGATGAAACAAACTGGACATTGGTTTTGTTTGGCAAAAATGCAGCTTTCACTGTGTTATACTCTATAACCATCACACAATTATGAAATTTCAAAGCCAATTTTTTTGCCCAAATGCAAACAATTACAAAAACTGGCGAAAGTCTGACCTTAGCCTTGCAATTTTCCATTTTTTCAGTTTGATCAAAACTTAATAACTTTTAATTAGTGACGAGAGTGAAATTTGGGAATCTCGCTGATTTCTAATATGTCACTGAGTGCATTAATTTGCAACAAGGCTTTCACAATTTAACTCAACTTCCAAAAAAATAATAAGGTAAACAATTTTTTTTCGCTAAGTTGAGATTAAGACTAACTTAGAATAAAGTATGAAAATATAAATAAATCCAAATTTAACAACTTTTGTTGTTGTAATAAAATTACAACAAAATATAGGTACTTAGGTTTTTATGAATTTATGGATTTTAAAAACCATCAAGTTTCCTTGAATTAATTATAACATAAATAACAAATAAATAATAAATCAAGCAATTATTAAAATAAATTAAGTACTTAATTCTCTATAATCATGGTTTAGCTTTGATCTAACTGAAACTTAAGAAACTCATTAAAATATAATTTTAATTACTTCAAGGATAATAATTTAAAGATGAGAAAAAGTCTCAACATTCTTTCTCAATATTTTTTCATGATTTTACAATTTCCTGAAAAACGCATTTTGGAGTTCAAATAAAATGTCGGTTTATTTGATTTTTTGATCATTTTAAGCAAAATTTTGCAAAATAAGTAAGTTTTAAGAAAAAAAGTAAGTTTTTTGCAGAGAAAAGTGACTTTTAAACAGTTTGAAAAAATCTCAGTTTTTAGCTTACAATCGTGATAAAACGCTCGAAAAAAAAACAAACGTCCTATTCAACCAAAATAAAAAACTCGAAAGTAAAATTTTGCAAAAAAGCTAAATTTTTAGCAAAAAAATTAATGAGTTTTTAAAGAAAATAACGTCATTTTCATCAATGATGATGAAAAAGTGTACAAAAATTCCAAGTGTAATTTTTTCAATGCACAAAAAACTGTTAATTTTTATTGAATTCTATTTTTTTTTTGTTTTTTTTTGATTTTCTAGTTAACTTTTTATTGCTTAGATTTAGATTTAATCCTTAGAATGTCCCAGAAACAAATCGCCATACGTCAACCAGTCATAGAAGAAATAAATGTCACTCCAAGAAAAAATATAAAAGACCAAAAACACAATTTTAATTATTTCAAGGATAAGGAAAAATGAGTTATCTCAACATCCTTTCTTAATATTTTTTTATGATTGGAAATTCATGAAAAACGCATTTCGGAGTTCAATTAAAATGCCGGTTTGTTGCTTAAACAAAATTTTGCAAAATAACTAAGTTTTAGCAAAAAAGTGACTTTTTTTGTTTTTAAACTTTGAAGAAAAATCTCATAAATAAGTCTTTATTGACTTAAAATCTGTGATAAAATGCACTTGCGGATGCAACACACCGGAAGGAAGGGATGGTGTCTGTTAAGTGAGTATAAAACCGGAGGAATCCGGAGATTGCACGCTAGTCTGTAAAAGGTTGGTGGGTTTAGTGGAGTGATAATGAGGTTTATTTCAGTAGTAAGTCATTTCCTACACTAAGATAATGAACGTGTTTCCGTTTTAATTAATTAATAATAGAGACATAAAAAGTTAATTAACGAAAGAGGTTGTCTTGTACTGCCAATTTTCTCATTAATTATTTGAATAGTAGACAATAAAATTATTTTTTTAAGGAAATTTCGACTCTTTTACAACTTTTTTTCCAATTTGCCAAATAAATCAAAAATGATTAGTTTCCGCAAATTTTCTCAAATTTATTGATACTTCTTGCGAAACGGCGAATTAGTTATTCAAATTAACACATATTTAGCATAATTTTTAGAGCAGCTTGTCAAAAATGATGCAAAAATAATTTTCCTCGGTTTTTCTGGTCAAACAGGGTTTTGCAATTGATAAAAAATAAGTGAATGTCCATTAGAAAGTAATGTGAACAAAATTTACACATAAACAGAGTCATACGACGCACTTTTAATTACTATCTTTTGTGAATTTTTGTTTAGTGATCGTAAAACTTTTGACCCACTTTACAAGTAGATTTTTCATCACTGAAACATCTTGAAATGTTATGTAAAACACCTCCGGAGTGGCTTAAGTAACGCAACATTGACATAGAATAATTGAGAACAAAAATGCAGAAATTAATTGCGTTTTTCTTTGACGACTGTTATTATTGATTAAAAAATCAACGGAATTCTAGTAATTAAAAAAAATCCACCGAAATTCCAATAATTCCATTGTTTCTGTAAATTTAAGTCCGGAGAATTCGCCTAAAACCCCTAGTTTAATTTTTTTTTCAAAAATTAAAAAACAAAAATTGCTTTGTCATTCGATGGCAGATTCCGAAACCTTTTTTTAATTTCTCTGTGAATCATAAATTTTTCCAAAAAGAAATATAGTTTTTGACTTTTTTGCTGTTTTTTGTTTATCTGTTTTCAATTCATTGTAATTTTCAAAAAAATAATCTGCTATAATTCCAAAAAAATTCCAAGTAATTTCGATTGAATTCCAAAAATTTGTACTCGTTATTAAATAACGTAATTTTAGTGAAAGTACAAATTGTCAATAATTAGCTCAACCGATCGCTATTATTCCTGAAAGAATGGATTTTGAGGAAGGTCAAGCCACTTTTTCTCACAATTTCTCTCGATTTGCGGATACGAATAATAAATTAATTTATTAATTAATTGGTTGAAATTGGTTCGTGGTCTAATTCAAGGTTCACGATTTCAACACCAAAAAATCACCTTTAATAGAAAAATTGGGCTAAATATTTAGATGTTGAGACATCAAGGTTCAATCTGGTAATTTTCCCGAGTTTAATGATGAATGTTTTTACCGATTTCTTGCACAGTTACTCTCACTTTACATACTTCAAAAGTTTTTATTTTAATATTTCTTCACCAAGAAAAACTCGAAAACATCCTTGAAACTATCTAATATCAAGCATGGGAAAACATCTTTTTGTTAAAAAAAATAATAGAATGACACTGAAACGTCATTTTCCATTTTCTATTAAGAACCAGATTAGATATTTAAATTTAAATTTAATAAACAGCAATCACCTTGAATTAATTTTTTTCGGCATGTGTGGTTCCAAGGACCACTTTCGATACAGTTAATTTAAAATAGTACCATTATGGTACTTTCACCCAGATAAAAAAATGTCCAATATATCACGATGGTTGAAATGGATATTCAAATTGGTTGTGTAACATTTTATTTTTTGAAAGTACCAAAACAGACAGCCTTGATTGTCAATGACAGACCACGAACTTGTCCCATCATCATAACGCTGGTAGAAAGTACCAATGGGTGAAAGTCCGGCAGATGGGACTATATTACATCAGCTAGTAACGTGTTAGGGAATCCGGAATGATTTTCACTTTCTTTCGTTTCTAAAATAAGGCGGATTAAAAAGCAAAAATCTCTAAGTACACGTTTTTATTTTAAATTGAAATAAGAGACCCTAATTAAACATAAAAAATACAAATTAACTCACAAAAGTGACAAAAAATAAACTAAATTTTTAATACTTTTTATTGTTACAAATTTAAACAGGAGATAGAATATTCATTTTTAAAACAAAAATTTTCTATGAACATATATCGAAAAATGCTACGCAAGGGGTGCGTCTTTTAATAGGTTTTTTCTCACTCTTTCCGAAATCATTTTAGAAAAAATTTTCAAAATTTGGGACAGATGATAACTTTTATACACCTAAACAAGTACAAAAATAAAATGTTGAAATTTTTAATTAGGGGCTTCCTAAACTAGATGGGATTAGGGTAAAAATTTACTCTAACTATTTTGCCTGTGGTTTCTTGCCACATTCAGCAACAAAATTTCATATTTTTTCATAAAAAAGGTCTTTTGTGTTTTTCCGATACAATTTACGGATTTTTAGTAAAAATCGGTTTAAAAATTTATGTCACAGACCATAAACAGCATAACAATTAAAAATTAAATTTGTTTTACCGTTTAGGACGCCCTTGATTAAAAATTTTGATATTTGGCATTTGTTTAGGTGTACATATAAAGGGTAACAAATTTTGTAATTTTATCTATTTGGAAATATTAGGAAAAACCCTTTAAAAAACGTGTTTTTTAGGGGGTGTAGCTCCCTTTCATATTATTTTTCGAAACACTTTTGACTTAAAAATTTGTACCTAACAATAAAAATGAAACACTATAATTAACACATGAAAAATTAATTCACAAAAATTTTAAATTAACTCACTAAAATAACAAAAAGAACTAAATTTTTAACACTTATAACACTATATAACAAAGTGCTCAGCATTTT